CAGAGTCTCAAGTATCTATAACAATCAACTGTTTCAGCTTTACAACCATAAAAGGTTTGAATATGGACTGTAGGGTGATTCAGTTAAAAGGACTAGATGTTACAGTCCCTGATAATGCACTGCTTTAGATGGAGAGACTCTTCAGGGATGGCTGTTATGAGGAAAGGCAGCCCAGAAACTTTGTCAGCAGCACGCATCGTTGTGTGCCTTTTACCCAGGCTAATCTGACATTTTCCTTCCTTGGTTAGGTTTAGGGATTAGAGATCTGATCTAGCTTATGATTTTAAAATTTAGGACAAAAAGCAAGAAGGGAACCTGGAATCAACCGGGAATTCCGCCAATAACAACAAAAAACCCCAACCAAAGAAGCCCCGCCAAGGGTGAACAAGCCCCCGAAGGGGGCACTGGTTAATGTTAACTTGTTATTTCTCTTCTTCTTTCTTCTGTTTAGTTTCCTACAGTTTATTTTCTATCTATTCACTGCAACTGAGAAATAATACTTACCTCTTTAGCATTTATGGAGCCTAACTTCTTGAAAGGGATAGAAAAGGCGATAGAGAGAAGTAAGACAAAAACAGGGGGCGCCTGATCTGGCTTCCCACACCTCCCTGCCGGATCGGGCTGTACTGGATACCTTTAGGTGAACTCATTAAGATCAAGTAGAATCCCACCCATATTTGTAATGTTTTGTTCTTTTGATGCATTTTTAGGCTAATTTATGACAATTGTCATCTTTATTTTGACACAAACATTGGAAGAAAGATGGAAAATGTGGGAGAGAGAACATGTAGGCACACTGCAGCCATTCCAACAGTGGATCTGCTGCGTATGCCATATGGAACCTAACAACATGCACCAAATAATGATTTTTAAAAAATTTAAAGCAAAATCTGTTAGTTTCATATAAATGCAAAATTATGGCATGTTAAAAATCAGTCAAAAAGATCAATTTATTCAACAATCTAGTTAGACCTAACCAGAACTTGGCACCACTTATTTTTTAAATGTACTGTGCTGCATGTAATGAGAGTCAGAACTGCCTTACTTGTCCCATATTTGGGGTGTGTGAAGTGGTAGCACCATGACTCCTGGTTTGAACCTTCTGTCGTTCTATGTGGCGTTTACATGCTCACCCTGTTCCATGCACGTTCAGTTAATTGGTGATTTAATTGGCACTGAAGATATGTCCAAATAAGCCCACATCAAATATCATAAAATCTGGTATCCAATACATCAGTTAGTCTGTAAATATTGCTACACTTAGGTCCATTAAATCTTGGACAATGATAAGTTTTACTACTGTAACTTGCACTCTCCACTTTCTGCTGTGACACAACAAATTTCCTACGTATGGGACTAATAAAGGTTTGTCTTCTCTTCTCTTCTCTTCTTTTTTAAAAATAATTTTTTGTCTGTATTTCGCAACAGTGGATTTGAAATCAAACAGTCAATATATGATAGAAGTGCTGACTTCCAGCTTTACTTCTTTTTTTTTTTCCCTCTTTATTTATAAAGTTTTGCACATGTAATTTGACATATCAGGCCCAATACAGCAAGTACCAACCGATATAAAGACATATATCAAAACAAATTAGGCCATTAAGATTCGGATGATAACAATAAAACAGAAAAAAGAAAGGAAAAAAAAGGAAAAAAGGAAGAAAACAACAAAAAAACAAACAAACAAACAAACAAAAAAATAATAATTTAAAAAAAATCAACTCCCTCCCAAAACCATAACAAAAGGGAACCTGTGGTACAAAAGTTTAGTCTGTTGTAAGTGTTTTCAATGAGTTAAAGTAAATGATAAAAGGCTGCCACATCTGTGAGAACTTATTAACATTTCCTCTGAGTCTAAATTTTATTTTCTCCATTTTTAAAAAGAACATAACATCTTCCAGCCAACGTGATCGGGCTGGAGGGTGAGGAGCTTTCCAAGACAGCAAAATTCGACGCCGTGCCAGCAGTGAAGTGAAAGCGATAATATCCAGTTGCTTACGACTAAGGTTCAGGGTGGCGTCCTCAGAAACAGGTTTGAGAGTAACGCTCAAAACATGAGAGAGCACTTCAGAGTAAAAAGTCCAGTATAATTGAAGTGACGGGCAGGCAAAAAACATATGAGTTAAATCACAGGGGGAGGTTTTGCATCTGTTGCACAGGTCAGGAATGCTGGGGTATATTTTAGATAATCTAGATGTTGAGAAGTGTAATCTGTATACCGTCTTAAACTGAATAAGGGAGAGTCTTGCACATGAGGCTGAAGAATGAATTCTGTCAATTACTTTGTCCCAGCAACCTTCAACAAACTGAAGACTAAGTTCCTGTTCCCAACTCGAGGCAATTTTCTTGGTTGAGTAATTGCCCGATGCCATAATTAAAGTATATATTTGTGATATTAGAGCCTTACTGTGAGGCTTCAACTGGAATAAGTCTTCCCAAAAGTTTTTAAAAGTATAGTATTTTCAGCTCACCTTGCAGATGAGTTTGTGCAGTGATGAGGTGTCTGTCATCTGTCCTTCCATCCACAATTCCCAGGAATCATTCCTGACAGATTACTGATCAGAGTTTATGATCACCTAATGAACTTATGGGAGTTCCTAAAATATGCTGATGCATGTGAATGCATCTTTATGAGACTAAAAAAACAAAACAAAACAAAACAAAACAAAAACCTTTCAGAGAAAGAGAGAGACAGAAAGAGCACAAACCTGCAGCCAAATTAACAATCTGGTATATTCTTACAAAGATTCAATGCCCTAGCCAGCTCAACAACACCAAAAGCAAAGAAAGACCACAGAAGACAACTAAAGTGCATTATAACACAATTGTTTCCATGGTTAAGAAAAACTTCACTGCATCTAACCAGGCCAAGAACACTCTTAAAGAGGTAGATCTATCATTCACAGAGCAAAACCCAACACAGCATGCTGAATGCAGTGACACAAACAAGCAGCGACTTGTTTTTTGGAATGTATGTGGTATTTGTTTTCAGGCAGAAAGAATAATAGTTCAGGAACACGTGACAAAACAAAAGTTCTCCTCATACAGGAAATGTTATAGATTTTAATTGTACCCAGGTCCCTATTCATGGACATAACTAACACAAAAAGAAAGAGTTCATAGAAACAAATGATTTTCTTTGTACAACTCCTTTTTTACTTTGTTAAACAGAAAAAGCAAGAATTAGAATAGAATAGAATAGAATTCAACTTTATTGTCATTGCACATGCACAGGTACAGGGCAACGAAATGCAGTTTGCATCCATCCAGAAGTGCTTTAGTGATATAGATATATTACAATATATATTAGCAATAATATAGATATGTAAGTATGTTACAGAAATGGGTCTATTATGGTATG